GTTAGGCGTCATTTTTAGATGTTTTATCATTAATTATTATTTTTAAAAATTAAATAATATTAATTCCTATTATGTTAAAATCATCTCAAATTATTTATCATACAGAAAGAAATGTTAAAATATTTTATATATATATAATTATAAAATATATATAATTATTCACCATTTTAGAATTGTTATTAGATCAAACTCAAATTCCAAAAAAAAATGAAATGATAAAATTTTTAAGTTATTTTAAAAATATAATTATATGTATTAAAAATAATAAAAAATTATTAGTTTATTAAGTATGTATAAGCAACTTTACAATAAAAATTATAAAGTAAAATTATATCATTAATCCATTATAAAATATCAATATATCCTCAATTTTAAATTTTGTAAAAATTATCTTGTTTCTAACAAATAACAGTATATTTCAGTTAATAATCTTATCTGAACAAATAACAACAATTTCACTTTTATATTATTCTTTATAGTATTAATAATCAATTGACTATAAACACTTTCAGATTTAATATTAATTTTTCCTATATTATTCTTTATAGTATATTATTCTTTATAGTATGAATAACCAATTGACTATAAGCACTTCCCAATTTAATATTAATATTCTTGAAAAAAAATATCTTTATAAGACTTATTCAGGTTAATATTCTTGAAAAAAAAATATCTTTATAAGACTTATTCAGGTTGAAAGTAGTCTAATTTTTGGAATGTTGAACATGTGACATGCTTGTTCCACTGTATTTTCCATAATTTTTCATAATTGCCTTTTAAATATGGCCATGAAACACTAAAACTTGAAACTTAAAATTGAACTTGTGACATGAAAAAGAAAGAATGCCATACTCAATATTATGATACATAGAAAAAATATAAAATACTTTAATTTATATAAACCCACATAGTTTCGAAGGGTAAAAGCTAACAATTTAAATATTTCTGAAATAGAATGCATGTATGTCATAACTGAATCTTTGTAAAACTATTTTTTTCACACTAAATCATTAATATATATGCATTTAATCTTTAAAAAAATTTGTATACCCATTTAATCTAGACTATGCTCTGTTTTTTTTACCGAAGTTCTAAAAAAAATAGACCAAATCTATTTTAAGAAACCAATTCTTATAAATTATCTAAATTTAAAGTACAATATTTTAAAGATAAAAGCTTTATACTATGGTTAATAAACACCTTTATTTATGAAACTAATCACCTATCCAATTAAAAATCATTTAAATTCATTCCACTCCAAAACCATGCCATTTTTAAAACACACAAACATAGAGAACCAATACAATTAAGTCATCTTAATACATACTACATGCTAAGATGAACCACAACCAACAAATTACTAACAAAAAAAACTAAATATACATTTTCTTTGACACATACATATTTCATCAAACATATCAATGTAGAACTTATAGAGATCATTCAAATAATTAGAGATCATTCAAAAAAACTTATATATACTAAAAAGAATGAAATTTTAAAGAGAGGCAAGATCAAATATATAAATTTCACAAAAATAATAAAATGATGTATCGAGTGACCACCTAACAATAGAAGTCTAGTATATTTGCAATTTTAATACCATTATTTTATTAAAAAATAATATTTTTTTAATACTTTTTATATTTTTGAGATTAAAATAATATCTTTTTAATTGCTAAAACTAAAATTATGCAAGAGAGTATAAGAAAATTTTACATTTGTATCATGTGATGTGACATCATGTTGATCATAAGAGCGGCCAGGATGGTGCTAGTGGCATGAGCATGCTCATCATCACAAGAGATTGAGGTGATGAAACCATCAATCCTGTAAACAACAACTTCGTGCTCGACGAACTCACTATAAGAAATGTGTGTCTTAACGATATAAAGTTGTGACGTGATTATCACGTGGCTAAAAAAACGTTGTTGCAACGTGATAATCACATCACTATAAATTTATATCTTAAAAAAATTAAAATAACGTTCAGATGTAGAGATTTTTTTTAAATGAAATTCGTTTCGACGTAGGACTCACGTCGCTACAAAAAAGTTAAAAATAAAAACAGAACAAAAGCCGTAACGTTCAGATGAAGGGGTTTTTAAAAAATTTTAAAAATTAAGTTGTGACGTGTTTTTCACGTCGCAACTTTTAAGAGAAAATTTATTTGGTTTTGACTAGACAAGTTACAGCGCATGTGTAGAGAGAACGGATATTTTATGATTGTTATGTATATTGTGACGTAAAAATCACGCGGCAAGGTAGCGACGTGATTTTCACGTCGCTACGTGACGTATATAGAAACGCGTGCACAACTTCATATCCCCAGTTTCATTATTTCACAGTTTTCCCATTCTTGTTATCTTCTGTTTTATATTTTCTTCTCCTCCTCAAATCATCTCAAATCTTCCATTAAATTTCTTCAAAAATTTTCCAAAGCTACAATTTTATTGATACTGGTAATTATATTGTATGATATAATTTCAATATATTGATATAATTTTGTTTATTGTTTATTATATTTACTAATATTAATTTTTGTTCAATTTATTTTGTCAAAATTGAAGAATATTGAAGAGTTTAGAAAAAGATTGAAAAAGAAGATTAAAGAAGAGGTTAGAGCATTATGTTAATTTAAAATTATTTCAATTTTTATATATAAAATTGATATATATATATATATATATATATATATATATATATATATATATATATATATATATATATATATATATATATATATATATATATATATATATATATATATATATATATATATATATATATATATATATATATATATATATATATATATATATGTTAAAAAAACAAAAATTTACGCGTCACAAGTTGTGACGTGAAAATCACGTCGCAACTTAGCTGTTATGCATATAAAAACAAAAGCTGAAGAAAGATGTGTATCACACGTTTTGATTTAGTGACGTGAAAATCACGTGGTAAATAAAGCAACTTTTATTCTGTGCTATCTATTTTTTCTGCAAAAGTTATCATTCCTATAAAATATGTTGCGACGTGATTTTCACGTCACAACTTTTTGACATGAAAATCACGTCGTAAATAATTTATCACTCTTTCTTCCGTCACGTGATCCTTCATGTCGCTAATAATTTAATGTGATGTGATTTTTTAAGTTGTGACGTGAAATTCGCGTCAGAAATAAGAGTTTTTTTTGTAGTGACTAGTTAAGTTGAATAATCTTCCTTCCACCAACAAAAATTACAGTTGTGGCGGGGATGGTCTAAACAACCATGGAGTTGGAGTCTAAGGTGACATTGATACACTGACCATAACTTATGATCTCATAATAGCTCTGAAGACAAAAATCTTCTAATGGTTGAAAGTTAAAAGTCTATGAAGACTATGTTTTGGATGTAAGTGAGATTTATGGAACAACAAGTAGTGTTTGAAACAGATAGTGTATTGATGCAAAGATGGTAGTAACTTGGTGATGATCAATGAATTCAAAAGTGGTATTTAAAGTAGTGAGAGTGATCACCATAGTAATTATCAAGGCTAGTAGGAGAGAAGAAACATTTTGTTTTCAATATATGATACATTAACTATAATCTGTAATCTCTTTTAAAAAAAACTAGAAGAAGGGGTGAGGATATATATACATAATATGAAATTAATTTCACCAGTGACATTTAAAAATGAATGATTGGGACATGAAGAAAAAAAAAATGTTACTTTAATAACCGTGAAAAATGTTATTATTTATACACAATATTTTATACCAGATAAAGTATTTTCTTTTTTATTTTCTTTTAAATTTATCCGTTGTTATAAATAATATATTTGTATGTTTTGTTGAATAACATTTCTTTAACAAATATTCAATTGAGTGTGACATTTAACAAACTAATACTTAATGCTAAACAAGTTATATATATATATATATATATATATATATATATATATATATATATATATATATATATATATATATATATATATATATATATATATATATATATATATATATATATATATATATATATATATATATATATATAATTTATATTTTGATTTTCATTTATATTAGTGTAAAAAATAATAAGTTTCTTTATAAGACTAAAATGATGAAGAAACAATTCATAAATTAGTCTTTTAGTCCAAACAATTGCTAGTTTTACGACTTTTCAGTAATGAGGCTAAAACTGCAAACATGTGAAATTAATGTTCGGGCTCCTAATTAATGAGCCTGTCGTGATTAACCAAAAAACCTATTTATCATATATCACAAATAATTTAAAGGTAAAAAAAATTGATTCCATAAAAATGGAAACAAGTTAACTATCTAAAAATTTGAATTACCTTTTTTAACTAAAATTTCAATTGGGTGTACTAAAAAATAAAATAAAAAAGAAAAAGCACATGAACTTGTTATCTTTAACGGTTTGGATACAACATAAGAAGAAGAATAATATGAATCATATACAGTACATGACTTTTTTTTATAAGCAAAGCAAATGCATTAAAGCGGCCATAAGGGATACGCAGTTCGAATACAAAAGAAAAAGAGCACAATAAAAATTAATTCAAAATCTCTACAAGTTTTGACAACCAATTGTCTTTAGAATAATCAAGTTGACCATTTGATCAAGCACTAATCTGATCCCAAGTTAAGAGTTTTGCCACAAGAATAATGTCATGACTCTCTTTCATTCCACTATTAAATGATGTGTCATTTCTAATTAGCCAAACAATCCTAACTACTACTAACTAAATAAAGGTCCTACAATGTCTCTTCATCATCCCTCGCAAAATAGAATTGAACAAAAACAAATGTTCATTAATGTTCGACAGAAAAACTAAAATTAAAATTGTTAACTCCTACCTAATGAAATATGTTAGACTAAACCTCAAGCGCTACCGGACAATGAGCAAATGGATGAGTGTGAGATTCTTCAGGTCTAAGACATGACAAACACACAAGACTATGAACACCCAATATAATTTTCCTTTTTGCGAGCTCATTTCTCGTTTGTAGCATATTTAAAAGACATATGGATATTAGAAGGCATGTTTGATATCCAAGCACGCTTTAGCGCCTGCTTCAACACATCAGTCGACTAAAAATCTTGGATAACAAATGAAAGAAATCTATAATACGTTGATTTAATAAAGAATCCCATAGAATCGCTTCACCATACAAATTGATCTACCTTCCCTGAAATAAGAATGATATGCTGCAAAATAGTAGTAAGATTCACATGGTTAGAATCTGCTGAAACTGTAGCATCAACCAAACCAGAATTCGCAGACAGCAACCACGTCCAACCACTCCCGTGTTGGAATCCCACCTCACCAATCCTTATCCTTGGATGTTGCAAATTCTGAAACAAGACAGAAAACTACACACATAGTGGGTCAGCATCGATGCATCAATCCCTCCATAGATCAATATCGTTACCCTTCCCAAGTTTACACGATAAACTTCTGCCAAACCAATTATTAACATCACATCAAAAACCCAACAGACACTTCAAATCCCTCCACCATAAAGAGGATTTGAGATTATTGATAGCATTTGAATTGTCCCTAATTGCAAACTTGATATCACCATATTTAAAGGTAAGGACTTTGTTCCATAGAGAGTTCTCTTCTGTTAGAATCCTCCTACCACATTTACACATTAAAGCTTTATTGAACAAATAATAATATTTAACACCAAACCCGCCTTCCACTTTCAACATACAAATTATAGACCACACCACTCAATTGATCCTCCTAAGACTTTCGTCACCATTCCATACGAATGCACAATGAATTTTGATAACTTCTTGAAGAACCACTTTAAGAGCATATAAAGATAACAATAAAAGCGATATTGAATTCAATAACAAATTAATGAGTGTTACTCTTCCACTTAGAGATGTTGATTTTCCTTTCCATGAGGATATCTTGTTCCTAACTTTCACAATAATTGGTGACCAATAGGAGCGTCGTCTCATATTATAACCAATTGAAATACCAAGAAAATTAAATAGAGCTTTAATAACATCGCACGAAAGATAATCTAAAACATCCTTCAAAAACTCTGGCTTAGCATTGAAACCGGTCACCTTACGCTTGTTGAAGTTAGCAGATAATCCTGAACAAAGCTTAAAATCATGCAACAAAGCTTTTAAGGTCCACATATCATCCCAAGAGGGATGCCCCACAATCATTGTGTCATCATAGAATTGAAGAAGATCAATATGGAAACTATCATTCAGCGTAAACAGATGGAAATTATGATTGGAGCACGCGTTCCACAACAATCATGCGATCCCTTCAGCCGCCAAGATATATGTGAAAGGGAAAGATGATCCCCTTGACAAAGACCTCTCCTAGCTTAAAAATAAATCATCGGGCTACTGTTTATCAAAACCGGGGAAGAAGAAGATTTGACACATGCCTTAATCCAACTAAACCACTTAGTGCCAAAGTTCATCCCTTTCAAGACATATATCAGATAGTCCCAAGAAACAGAGTCGAAGGCCTTTTTAAAATCTATTTTGAATAAGAGTAAATCTTTTTAGTTCCTCCTAGAAAATTCCACCACTTCATTTAACACCAAGATGCCATCAAATAATCCTCTATTAGGTAAAAAAAGTTGTTTGTTTATCTAAAACAAGCTTATTTAAATCTGCCTTCAATCTCCCCGACATCAATTTCGAAATAATTCTATATATGCTTCCAATCAGACAAATCAAGCAACAAACAAGTTAGATTTAATAACATCCCAACTCAATAATGCAATCAAACAAGACAAATTTAATAATACTCCAACTAGCTTTGAAGAATTCCATAGATAAGCCATCGGGTCCCAGACTTTTTCTACTAGCAGTATTCCATATAACCTCCTTTGTGTCTTGTAAGGAGAAATGTGCTTTCAGTATAGCTATATATGTGTATCTATGTGTTTGGAGGTAACAACCAAGTTTTGATGACAACAACGTGTCTACAAACATGAAGTACTAACACATCTACTAACATGAAGTACTCAAAGACAATTAACAAACACAACAGGAGTCCTAAAAAGAAAGACGTGGAAGTTTTCTAAATCGTGTCGGTTTGTCTGAGAGAATCAAGTATTGTAAAAATGAAATAGTAGTTTAGAAATACTAAGGCAACTCACACATACATACACACACTAAAAACCTTTTTCCAAAATTAAAACATTTAAAAAATAACTTGGAAGATGTGTCAAATAACTTCAGAACCCTAGAAATGAATAGCGGGAAAATTTTGTCTAATTTAATCAATTGAAACTTTAGTCTAATCGATTAGAAAAGATCAAACTTACGCCTTAAGACATTCTAACAACACCTAAACAATCGGAAACAAATCTATATCACAACCTTCCATTTTTAGAATCATAGCGGCCGTATTCATTTAATTTAGTTGATTATACCAATTGATTAAATAGTTAATCAGGCCTATGGATTATTTCCTTTTTGAGTGACTTCCTCTACTATAAAAAGGGGTGACTTCCTCCATAGAAATCACGTCATTTTCCAACATTTTCATATTTGTTTGGAATTTATCTCTATAAGCTCCCTCCTTCTCTCTCTAGAAATTTTTCTTTCTTCACTCTTGGTTGCCTTAGTATTTTGAAGTGAAAATTCATTTGTGAGGAGAATATTATTTTTGTAAGTGGTCATGCTGGTTGTTTATGTTTTTGAAGGTACAATACCTTTAAGGGATTAAGTCATTGGTTCTTGGTATAAACCATAAATCTCTTTTATTGGCTTATTAACCCTAGTCGATAAAAAATTTTGTTCTTGGTTAAAGAGATCAGCCATAAATCTCTAAAAGGTTTCATAAGTTGGTATTAATCTCGTTCAAATTCAAAGGTCAAATTGTATTAAGGTTCATGGACATAACCGATAAAATCTCACAAGTTTATAGTGAAAAATCTCCAGAAGAATTCTTGGGGACATGATTAAGCCAATGTTTGGCCAAACTTGGATAACTCTCTGGTGCAATTTATCTGTCCTTACCCTCTTTAATTTTTTGTAACATATTTTATTTACCTTACTTCCGCTACACTTTGCTACTAAAAAATTACTAATACTATCTTAATCGAGAAATGGAAAATATCCACATATATTGTGGAAGATAAACCATTTGTTCCTACATATATTGTTGATGGTCTTGTAGTAAACAAACCTGAAAAGGATTGGTCCAAATATGAGAAAGTGAATGTACAACATGGTTTGAAATCTAAGAATATCATCACTACTGCACTAGGTCTTGATGAATTCTTACGAGCTTCTCACTGCAAAACTTCTAAAGAAATGTTTCAAAATGAAAATTGAAGAGAACGTAAATCAAATGCAAATACGATTTACTCATATCATAGGTCATATGAGGACTCTAGGGAAATCATTCTCAGCTGAAAAATTAGTCGTAAAAATTCTAAGATGCTTGAATCGTTGGAAACCAAAAGTCACTGTATTTGGAAAATTGCATAAACATGGAATGGAGATAAAAAAGATTAGCCATGGATAAACAGGAAAGCAAGAAAAATGAAAGTCTAGCTCTCAAAATAGGAGAAGCCATCTCAGGCGATGATGTAGCCTTTGTAGTGAAAAAATTCAAAAGATTTATGAAGAAAGAGAAAAAGGAAGCAGCAGCAGAAGAAGAAGAAAAAGAAGAAAAAGACGAAGAAAAGCTATCCATTCAAACTTGCCACAATTGTGGAAAGAAAGACTACATCAAACTTAATTGCTTCCTACTTAAAAGAGAAAATCAAAAACCAACAAAAAATCAAAAGAAAAAGAAAGCATTCGTCGCATAAAAAGACAATGATATAGAATAGTCAAATAACGAGGAGAAAGATAACATATGTCTAACGGAAAAACATCAAGATAACAAGGTGACCTCCAAATTTTCTTATAGTGACCTTTCAAAATATGCAAGGAATTATCTAAAGAAAATGATACACTAGAAAAAATCATTTCAAACTCAAATGATAAAATATCTTTTATTGAAACAAAAAATAAAAACTTAGAAAGAGAATTAAATAATCTCAGGGAAAAATAAGAAGAATTAAGTCCTTCCATTTCCAACCCATGTAATGGTTGTGATATCTTAAAAGAAGAAGTTAGCAACCTTCAAGAAATCCTGGTAAAATTCACCAATGGGAGAGATAATTTGGAAGTACTATTAGGAAATCAAAGAGCCTCATATGATAAAGAAGGTTTAGGATACAATCAAATAAATAATAGCAAGAAGTTAGAAATTATGTGTAAGAAAGAAACAACATCTCACTGCACAAAGTTCAAATGCAACTATTGTAAGAAAGAAGATCATCCATTTCTAACCCATGTAATGATTGTAATGTCTTAAAATAAGAAGTTTGAAACCTTCAAGAAACCCTGGTAAAACTCACTAATGGAAGAGATAATTTGGAAGTACTATTAAGAAATCAAAGAGCCTCCTATAATAAAGAAGATTTATGATACCATCCAATAAACAATAGCAAGAAGTTAGAAAGTATGTGTAAGAAAGAAACAATATCTCACTGCACAAAGTTCAGATGCAGTTATTGTAAGAAAGAAGACCATCTAGAAAAATGTTGTTTCTTAAAGAAAACTCATGAAAGCAAAGAAAGACACTCTCCTTCATATTTTTACAAGAAATGTCTTGAACATAAAACATCATCTAAAAATACATATGCATCTCAGCCAATGAGAAAAAATGTTTATACTAACGAAAAAGAACCCATGATGATATGGGTGCCTAAAGTTAGGAACTAACCCTTCTCTTGAAGGAAAGCTTTACAGTCTCATACATAAATGGTATTTTGATAGTGATTGTTTAAAGCATATTGTGATCGGTGGATCTGGAACTGACTGTTTAACGCTGGTTCGTGAAATGTCGCGGAAGCAAGAGTCGCCACCGTCTTTTATTTTCTCCAAATGGAAAGGACAAAAGCACAGAAAAATTCCTTAAAGAGATTGCTCTCGGTTCGGGAGGTAGATTATAGAAAGGGAAGGTGTTAGCATCCTTTCTATCCATGGTTATCCATGGGCTCTTAGATACTTGCTCACTTGTGTTTTCAAAAAATGGTTTGTTTGCTTTTCAACTGTGGGTTTTAAAAAGTTTCTTTGAAAATTCCAGTTCGACTCTTGTATCGGTCCTCAAGAGTGTTTGAAAAAATGCTTTCGAAAGCTTTTTGAAAATGTGTTGGTGTAAAAAGTATTTTTGAATTTGTTTTGAAATTTAGAGCAAGTATCTAGAGTTGTCTACCTACCCTAAGGAATTCGTCTGTGTAAATGTCCTTTAAAGTAGTGCCATCCCACCATTGAGAGGTAGGTAGCACCACTATTGGAGGTGTTCAGGTCAATTCGAGTTTAGGGGCAAGGTGATCACCGGAGCAATGGGAAGACACCTTAGAAGCTACCCTCATGCCAGGTTCCCGGATCATGAGGACTTACTAAGACATCCTCTACTCGACGATCACCTTTCGAGGCAAGGCAACAGTGAGGCGTACCCTAGGGGTGGTGTGTGATTTGTGTGTCGTTTTCAGATATTTTTTGTCTTATCATGTCAGAGTGATCTATGCGTTTGTTTTTATTTTATCATTCATTCTTGCATGCATTTATTATTAACAGTTTAAAAAAAGATGCGGAAAATTAAAGTTCCTAAACTATTACAAAGGCGCGGGTCCACATCGCCAAAATTTCCAGGACCCGATTTGACAAAAAAATGAAGAAATAAAGTAAAGTGCGATAAATTATGAAATTACACGGCTTTGGGAGAATTACATTAATATTTAAAAGAAGGAAATAAATAAAATGCGCGAATTGGAATTAAAATTGGAAACGAGGGCGTTGGACCCTTTTTTGACGAAATTAAATTAAATTGTTAAATTAATTAAATTAATTAAATTAAAAAGAAAAAGAAATTATTTTTTTGAGATTTTTTTGCATTTATGGTTTTAATGAGAAAGATTAATTGAAATTAAAATGTTAACCCTAATTCTAATTGTTTTTTTTTTATTAAGAAAATATATTAAAATTTAAACCTAAAATTAAATTAATTATTTACATGCAATTTGATTTATAAAAATAAATAATATTTAATTATTAGTGAAAAGAAAAGGAAAAGGATAAAAATTAATTAAAACCCTAATTCTACCAATTTTAAGTTTATTAAGAAAATGTTTGAATTAAAC